TTACCAACCAATCATCATCGTCCATAAAATACAGCAGTTATTGCATACTTCGTATGCAATAACTATATAATATTCAATCCACAATGTTTTAAGAATGCTCTTGGAAAAACAATGATGGATCTATACACTTTTCTAAGTTCTAGGTCACAAAAAGTCTAAAGATAGCAGTAAAACAATACTATATTCACATGCTTGATAATACTCAAAAAAATTTTTAAAAGAATTGGTCTAGTATTTTGGTGCTTTTACAAGCAATAATAATAAGCCCTATACAATATTAAATACTGCCTCAACTCACAATTGAGATCATTTAAAATGTATTCAAAATTTAATACAAGGCCTTTAACTATTATCTGATACTATTAATAGTTTTATTAGTTTAATTCTGTCCAGTACTATTATTTGAAATTATAGGGTGAAAAAACATATGCTGATTTTTTTTGATTATGTAATTATTATCACCTCGCATTATAAGCACCATTTCACATAACTATATTTTTTTTAAGCTTTCAAATATTATAATGTCTAATCAAAAACTAGAAAACATTCAAGAAATTGAAAATCCAAATATTAGTGAAAATTACCCATTCTTATCTAAAGAGACCTTTTATGACTTATATAAGAAAAATACAGATAGGATCCTGAAATAAATAAAAAACATTATAATAAAATAGTTAGTATTTTTGACAATTCAAAATCTATATTTAATAAAGATAGAAGAAATTATATTAGAATTAATTATTCAATTAAGATTATCAACAACCAAAAAATAATATTTTATACATCTTTGGGAAAAAGGTTAGATATGAATAAACAAACCTCATTACTTAAGAAAGATAACATTTATAAAAAACTAGATAAATTATATATTAAATCTGTCTATAGTAGACAAAATGACCTTTGGCACAAAACCAAAAGATGTTATAGTAATATAAAATAGTAGATGGTTGAAATTTTTGTTAGTTCATATTTGATATTATTTTTTAAATTGGTATTATAGAATGAGATAAACAGATACAAATATGTAGTTTATATACAGAACTATTTCTTCTACTTCTTATAAAAAGGGCCTTATACTAAAAACTGTATTAGAAGTAGCAGTTTTTTTATATAAAATTTTCATAGTTTTTGGTCATTTGTTTATTTTTTATACAGATAATGGTGCAGAATTTATAGCCAATATTATTAAAAAACTATGCAGTCTCTGGAAACCTATTAATATAAAAACTATTTATGGCAAACCTCATCTTTCAGAAAGTCAAGCTTCTATAAAAAAAGACACCTATTTCCTTAAAGATAAATTATCTAAATAGGTGTTGTCAACAAAAAATGAAGACTGAACTATAAATCTTCAACAGGTAATACATATGACAAATACTTTCTATTGTAGGGCACTAAAAGCAACACATACAAAATTGTATTTAGATAGCTCTATTGCATGTCTAATTTAGCTTTTAATATTTTAAATAATTTTCTAATAATGCTTTTTACATTAGTTGATAGATATTTCTAAATTTTTCCTGCTATTTTTAGTTACTAGAGTATTTTTCATATATGATCATTAATTACAATATTTTTGATAAAAAAAATCTATAATGTATTTTACCTTGCATTAAAAAGATTGTAAGATAATTCAAAATAAAAATAATAAAAAAAGCTAAAGAACTTTTATAAAATCAAGCAAAATTTTTAATGTGCAATATAAAAGTTAAACCATTTATATCAGAAAATTTTAAAAGAATTTAAAATTGTTATGTAGTAAACTAAACAACAATTTTAATAAAAAAAACTCAACAAAAAACTTCCTAATATATGTGTTTATATCTAGAAATCTTTGAAATATTTCTTAAAATTAACTTTTTTTAGTAAAGAATAATATTAAGCAGTTAAATAAACTTTAGAAAATTATAAATAATAAAATTTCTCTCCAGGGAATTACAAATATAGCACCTATCTCAAGTGAAGTAATTTCAAACTTTTCAAAAAAACAAAAAACCTTGCTATGTAAGACTAACTTAATATTAAATTATAAATATTGATAGATCAAATATTGTATAGATAGTTCTTTAAATTAATAATATCCATTATTATTTACTTCTCCCAAACAAATTAAAGGAGTTATCTATACTATATTTGATCACTTATTATTATTATTATTTTTATTAGATTTAGTTTTTAGGTCTGAAGTTTGCAAAAAAGTGAAATTTGAAGTGGTGATAAAGAGTAAACTTCTTTATCAACCTATTAAAACCTTTAAACTGCCTAAATTATATTAAAAACAAACCAAGGCCAATTAACAAATTAATAAAAAAATATATTTAGGCTTGGTTCAATAGATTAATAAAGGCTTCAAGTTCAGAGTAGGTGACTATAGCTGCTATAAAATACTTATTTGAATAGATATATACATAATATACTGAAGAAAATACTTTAATCTCTATATACTTAAACTAGATTAAAAATAGAGACAGAAGAGCATGTCTGGTTTAACTGATAAGAATAAAAGCCAGTTGCTAAATTATATTTATATTTTAGTTCAAAAAAGTATATAATTAAAAATAAAAGTGCAATTTAAATAAATAAAAAAAATAAATTTATCTTTTATTTCATAAAAAAAAACTTTAAATACTATATTTATCTAATAAAAATATTAATCTGTTTATAATTTATTTATTATTTATTTTTATTAAATAAAATTATAAAAGTATATCAAAATAAGGAAATTAGATTTTAGTACACCTTGCACTGCAGTACACATCTATATCTAATAATAATTAGAGTTGAAATTAGTTAGAGTTAGGATTAGAGTTTGGGGTAGAGTTTAGTAAAATTTCAAAAGGAGCATTTTTACTTAAATAGCAAATAATAATTAAAGTTAAGATTAGGTAGGTTAGAATAAGAGTTAGAGTTAGAGTTTGTAGTTAGGTTTAGATAAAATTAGGAGATGACCATTTTTCATTAGTCACACAACAGAATTACTCTTGTAAAATTTTAAGATATAACTAGGATATATTGCAGTGCAAGTACACATATTTCTAAAATCCTTAAAGTAATATATCAAATATTATTTTCTCTAAAATTATCTTTAAATTCAAGTGTTCTTTTTAATATAATTCTTTTTAAGCCTATATTAAAAAATAAAATTTTTCTCAAAGATGAATATATTTATTTTAGGTTTTAATACTATTTTTATAATTTAACTTGCTATTAAAAACTCTATTTAAAATTATTTTTTTAGCACTTTAACATATTGCTATATTATCAACTTATTAAGAATTAGTATTTATAATAGTAAAATATATAAATCAAGCAATTATATTCTTATTGAACAGGCTATAAGAACCAATCAAGGATATATTAATAAATCTGTTTGCAGGTTGAATTAGTATGGAGGTAAATCTTACTTTAGCAGGTTGTATATAGATATTCTCTAAACAACTGAGTGAGCTATTACTTGTAAATTAGGTATTAAGGAAAATAGCTACAGGTCAAATATATAAATAATGTTTAAATAATGAGATATACCTTTATTGATCTATTATTTATCCAATATATATTTTGTGAAAGAATAATAGTAAACTAATAAATATTAGCATTAGGGTAAAATAAAAGATAGATATTGGATACAAAATAGTATACCTTTTGTTTTCTAATACTATTCTAATATTCATACTATATGTTAGTAGCATAATAGTAAGATGCAGGTATATAAAAAGTATAAAAAAAATATACATTTTTTTTTCTTTATTATCCTGATATTTAACTTACATGTTTATAGCATTATAGAAGAATATAGGTATACAAAAGATAAAAAAATTATATATATATATATTTTCTTTTACTATCCTGATATTTAACTTAAATGCTAATAGCATTCTAGAAGGATATAGATATAAAAAGGTAAAATAATTGTATATATTTTTCTTCTTTTACTATCCTGATATTCAACTTGAATACTAATAGCATCCTAGAAGAATATAGATATAAAAAAAGTAAAATAATTACATATGTTTTTTTTCTTCTTTTATTATCTTAATATTTAATTTACATTATAGAAGAATATAAGTATAGAAAAGATAAAATAATTATATATATTTTTTCTTCTTTTACTATTCTGATATTCAACTTGAATACTAATAGCATCTTAGAATAAAATAATTACATATGTTTTTTTTTTCCTTTATTATTCTGATATTCAATTTATATTATAGAAGAATATAGGTATAGAAAAGGTAAAATAATTACATATGTTTTTTTCTTTCTTTAACTATTCTGATATTCAACTTGAATACTAATAGCATCCTAGAAGGATATATATATATAAAAGATAAAATAATTATATATGTTTTTTTCCTTTCTTTATTATTCTGATATTCAATTTATATTATAGAAGAATATAGATATAGAAAAGGTAAAATAATTACATATGTTTTTTTTCTTCTTTTACTATCCTGATATTCAACTTGAATACTAATAGTATTCTAGAAGAATATAGATATAAAAAAGGTAAAATAATTATATATGTTTTTTTTTCTTTATTATTTCAATATTCAATTTACATTATAGAAGAATATAGATATAGAAAAGGTAAAATAATTATATATATATATTTCCTTTTTTTATTATTCTAATATTTAACTTGAATGCCAATAGCATCCTAAAGGGATATAGGTATAAAAAAGATAAAATAATTACATACATTTTTTTTCTTCTTTTATTATTCTGATATTCAATTTACATTATAGAAGAATATAAGTATAAAAAAGGTAAGATAATTACATATATTTTTTCCTTTTTTTACTATTCTGATATTTAACTTGAATACTAATAGCATCCTAGAAGGATATAGATATAAAAAAGATAAAATAATTATATATATTTTTTCTTTATTTATTATCCCAATATTCAATTTACATTATAGAAGAATATAGGTATAGAAAAGGTAAAATAATTACATATGTTTTTTTCTTCTTTTACTATCCTGATATTCAACTTGAATGCTAATAGCATCCTAGAAGGATATAGGTATAAAAAAGGTAAAATAATTATATATGTTTTTTTCTTCCTTTATTATCTCAATATTTAATTTACATTATAGAAGAATATAAATATAAAAAAGGTAAAATAATTATATATGTTTTTTTTTTTTTTTTACTATTCCAATATTCAACTTGAATGCTAATAGCATCGGGTTAGAGTCTCGTAGCCTAGTGGTCTGGGTGCCTAACCCTTCACAGATGAGATCAACAGTTTGATTACAGCTAGTAGTAATTAATTTAATTAATTATCTCTATAACCTTTAGGAGCTTTCAAATACGAAACCCTGTGGCAGTAAGACCATGTGATATACATATTTGGCTAATAAAGAATTCTTGAAAGGAGCCCCAAGCCATGGAGAAGACTGGGCACTATGTGTGATATAGGTTATGGAAGGTATTACTGCAGAAGGCTGTGTGTGTGAATTCACAATTGGCAAGGTAGTATCAACAACCCTAAGACGGCATTGGGATCTTGATTGAGAGGACAGCTGTATGTGATATATTCAGAAGTGGTGAGAGAAGCAATAAATATAGTAAGAGTCTGTGATAAGAGAATGGCTTTACCAAATATAGAACACCTCTGGCACAAGGAAACAAGAAAAACCAGCTAAAAGAAACCCCGAAAGTATGGAAGTAGGCGATCCAGTAGTATGAAAATAAAGACAGGCTAGGGAGTAATAGTCGCACAACCTATATGGAAGTCTATAATGAAACACGGCAGAGGCGTGGGTTCTGGGTTACTGGATTGTAACAGTAATTAAATGAGGTACTTAACTCCCGTTCAAAGGATCTAGACCCCTGTATCACCACTATACCGATAAAGAGTACTATAGAACAGTATTAGAAATTCAAAAAAACTTAATAATTTTTGTAAACATAATTTTTTTTTTTAATGTTTATATAAAAATAAATGTTCACAAACATGATTTATAATAATTAATATATAAAATTAAAACTCTTGAAATTACAAGCATTTTATTAATATTATATTTATTTATTTATTTTTTTTTATAAATTCGGCAGTTATGCCTTAGCTTTATTAGGCTTTGTACAATTTCTCTAGAATATATAAAATTTTACAACTAGGCATTTTGAAAGGTAAGTAATAAACTCTAAACTTGTCGGCAGATAGCATATAAGAACTATCTCTAAACGACAAGTGCCATAGCCCACATTATTACCTAAATTACAAGTTAAGACTAACCTGGTTACCAACTTGGCACCTATATTCGACCTGCTATAGCAAGATTTCTCTCCTTCTGGACCTCTTCTGC